AGAGACATTCAATATTTACAACAATATTAACGATATATTCCAAATATATATACCGTAATTTCGGACTATAAGCCGCGCCTTTTTTCCCATTTTTCGACGCTGCGGCTTATATAACGGTGCGGCTAATCTATGGATTTTTACAGCTAACGGCCACCACCTTTAACTCTATGGGCTCTATGGCCGGTCCGCGCCCCCCACCTTCCAGCAGGAAAAGCTGGAGGCCGGAAAAGAGTGAGACAGGTAGCGCGCAAAAGTAAAAGTGGAACCGAGAGTGGTACGTGAGACAGAATGAGAGCAAGACAGACAGACATTACGAGAGCGAGACAGTTTGTCCCCGTACCACTGGTTGAAAACCACTGCTGTAGATCACTGCCGGTACGTGCGCTGGGAGCGCACCGTTTAAGTTTGAAAGTTGAAAAGTTTGTGTGTCTGAAACGCTATGTGATACAGTACAGTTTACACAGCACAGTACATGTTCTGTAGCTACTATTGCACTAAATGGTAACACTTGAATACGTTATGCAAATATGCAACTTGTTTGTTGAAATGTTAATAAATGGGAGCTTCCTCAAACAGCCATCTCTTTCCCGACAATCCCCTCTGTGCACGAACCCTTACATATGGTAATTAAAAATTAAAACACCTGCGGCTAATAGTCCAGTGCGTCTTATATATGTACACATCATTCAATTTAGCTGCTGCGGCTTATATTCAGGTGCGCCTTATAGTCCGAAAATTACGGTAATTAAGTTGTTTCTGATATTTTTGAGATACTACTGTATACTATGACATTATTTAAATCTTTTAACACATTATACCAGTGGTTCCTAACCTGGGGGGGCGCTATTGCAGGAGGGGCACGTGAAACCTGGGAAGAAGTTGTAAACAAACATTGTTTGCTCGTAAAATCAATCAAATTGACACATTTTTAACATGACCGGCAGTTAAAAAAAAGTGGACGAGCCCACAACAAGCCTTTCAGTTATATTGCCCAAATCAACAACGTTTTTATATTTTTTGACATACTGTACTTTGATTTTTTATGATATTTTCGATCATACCTTACTTTTACTTAATTGTTTTACATAGTAAGCTGTAACTGTTTTTTTCATAATACTCGACCTACTATACTCTGACCTATTTTATATTTCTTGACAGAATGTACAATGAATGTTTTGACATTTATTGATGTACCATACTTTGATGTTTTTTCTTATATTTTTTGACATACTATAACATGACTTGTTTCAACATACTATCCTATTAAAGTGTTTAATATTTGAATGGGTTTCATTTGTTTGACCTCGTTCTTCCTCTCCTCTGTTCAGGTGGGTCTTCCTGAGTGTGTGGCGAAGCGCTGCGTCCACCAGGTGGCGATCGCCCTGGATTACCTGCATTGTAAGAAACTCGTGCACAGAGACATCAAACCCGAGAACATCCTCATTTTCGACAAAGAGTGTCGCAAAGTCAAGCTCTCAGACTTCGGCATGACGCGGCGCGCCGGCTCCCCGGTGAAGCGTGTCAGCGGCACCATCCCATACACGGCGCCCGAGTTGTGCGACACCTCACGGCACGAGGGCTTCTGCGTGGACTACAGCACGGACGTGTGGGCGTTCGGCGTGCTGCTCTTCTGCATGTTGACGGGGAACTTCCCCTGGGAGAAGGCCATGCCAAACGACACCTTCTACGAGGAGTTTGTGCGCTGGCAGCGGCGCCGGACAGGCACGGTGCCGTCGCAGTGGCGCCGCTTCACCGATTATTCTCTCCGAATGTTCCGAAGGCTCCTCTCCATTGAGCAGGAGCGCCGCTGCTCCGTCAAAGAAGTCTTCAGCTACTTCAACCAGAGCTGGATGCTGGACACGGAGAACGGGAACGGCTTGGCGAGCAGCGCAGCGCCCCCTCTGGACATCAGCTCGTCGTCGTCTGAGGAGAACGTGTTGGTGGACCGGCTGAAGCAGCAGAGCCTGTCCCCCGCCTGCATGGCAGCGAAGGGGAGCCTCATGATGGACACACACTTCTCCTCCGTGTCCACGAACAGCTCGCCCTCCTCCACTGGCAGCTACGATCGCGTCAACAGAGAGAACAACGAGAGAGGGCGCCACCTGGTGGCCACGCCCATCGAGATCTGCGTCTAGAGGTGCTGGACACTGCGTTTCATGTGAGGAGGGGGATTTCTCTGAGGTAGAGGAGCAAAGGGCGGATCAAAAAGTTGACGCCTCGCTGCTGATTTACTAATTTCTGATGAAGACTTGCTCTGAGGAAGTGAGCAGAGAGCCTCCTGTATGTGCTCTATACTTGGGATACTGAAATGGACGACCTGTTGAAAAAATAATGCTGAAGGACAAATACAAAAACAAAGACATTCACAATCCTCGAGCAATATGAAAATGATCCAGTCCAAAAAATAATTCTCGATCGGCTTTCAGTAAAAACATTTCTTTATGGTACTTTTGTGTATTTATAGATAAGTGTTATTTCTTAGTATGTGTTTTTTTTATTTGGAGTTCAATTATTTATTTAAAGCAGATCCATATATTTATGATTTGTAAGAGGTTAGAAGCCTTTTGTTTTACTCTGGCTTTCCCTGAGAAAGAAATGTAATTACTGTAGTATGGTTTTTTGAAATATTCGTCATCATGTTGTTGTGATCTCTCTCCATAATGTCCTCTCCCATGTTTGCCTGTGATCCCTCTTGTACAGCAGCAATCCATAAATGGTACATAGTTTTCTTTGGGTAAAAAATACATAATAATCAGCTATTTGGTAGAATGACACACTGGAAAAAAGTAAGAATGTGATTCTTCAATTTGCATGGTTAAAGAAGACAATTGTATCTTTCATTGAGGAAGTAGCTTAATTATCTAACAAGTGATTCAAGTGGACTTTCTTCTTCTCCGAAAATAAATAAATAAAAGAAACAATCATTGACATTAAAATTTCTGATTGAATACAAATAAATACATACAATTCTGTAAGGATTTGGGGATGTTACCTGCCCTATTAAATATGTATTATGTCGTTTTTATTGCTGTTTACTTTAAAAGTAAAACCCTGAATGTGTCAAACATTTGGGAATTAAAATGTTTACTTTCTGTTTTCCATAAGTATTGCATGTTCATGCCTGTGGTGACATTAGTTTAAATAAACACCCCCAAAATTAAATTGGAGCTAGTTTGTCTTTTTATTCCTTTTTTTATAAAGGTTTAGCATTTCTAGAAGATTTGCTTCCACTCTGATACTTAGCATGATGTTTATTCATAACGTTCCTAAAATCAAGGTAACATATTTAAAACAGTCATAGTATAGTATTTCATCAAGAAATATTTAATGTGTCATGTTATTAAAAAGTCAAAAGAAAATCACAGCAGATTTCATAATTAAATGATCGTCAGTCATAATGTCATATTTGATAGATTTCTCATAAAAAATGCATATTATCGTATACCATAAGGTGTCATTCAAAAAAGTAATAATAGAGTAAGTCGTAAAAATATCACCAACAAATGAAAGCTTTAGCGCAAGTTCAATAAGGAAGACCTAACAATGAGTCACTTACACGTCACTCTATTGCTCTCTCCCCCCTCATTAAACATGTGGGCGTCACCCCTCAGCAGCCAATTGCTGCACACGTTAAATTCCTTAAATGCCTGCTCTTCCCTCCTGTCAGCTGTCATTTCAGGTGACAACACGCAATGGTAGTACTACATACTCCTTCTCGTGAGAAACTTTAAAGCAATATAGCTCAAGATGCCCAACTCGGATAATTCGGATCACGAACCTTCTCCGGAAGTCTTCGGTCCCGGTTCGGCTCCCTTCAGCGGATTATCATCAGAGGCAGACTTCCTCATCGCCCGGCTCCTGCAGCAGGGCATTCCCACAGCCCCAGGCCTCACTCTCTCTCAGCTCCGAGAGCTCTTGGACCAGGTCTCCGGCATAGCTCCCCAGTCCGGGGCAGCAGCTCCAGTCAGATCCCCGGAGAGATCAGAGCGAGGACGCGGGCGCAGCCGCCGAGGAAAAAGGGGCGGGAAGTCGAGCCCGCCAGGATCCCGGCCGCCTCCAAAATCCACCCCTTCCCAGGCCCGCCAGGCCGGGAGCATCTCTAACACGCCCCTCATGGAGAGTAGCGTGGCCGGCTCCCTGCAATCCCTGGCGAGCTCCATGAGAGCTATCGATGCTCGCCTCCAGGCCCTGGAAGACTCCGTCACAGGAGCTTCAACTTCCGCTGCACTCAGAGCAGCGCTCTCTGCCTCAGTCCCGCCGGGGTTGCCTGATCAGGGCGTCCCACGCATTCCAGCAGTAGCTCCCCCCTACTCTCT